CCCCCCCCCCTTTCTCCTCCCACACAGAGACTACATTTCGAGGAGTAGAAGAAAATGCCACAGTGATTCAGAAAAATTGTATCATCTTTCTTTGTTTATTGTAGAGATAGTACAATATCTTTCTGTATATGCAAGATTATAAAATGTAATATTTTTTTTGTGTGATGCATGATTTCTACAAATCACAAAATTGCACAAATTATATGTCTCGAAAAATTGCATGAGTAAATTATAAGAAATATACCATTTATAGAAATGCATTTTTAAGAACGTCGCAATAATAAAAAAATATTTTCTTAGGCATCTCGTTCTTTAAGAAATATTTTCAACAACTCAATTTTTTTTAGATTGTAACGCAAATAAACATATACTTGACTAGCTTAAATAATACTAGCGCTAAAGTAAAAATAGCCGCTAAGTGCGAATTATTTGCATCGTTTTACAATTATTTTAAAAATGCAATAATAAAACTGTTTTATGTTTATGTTTTTGTTTTTGTTAAAGCTATATGCAGAAACAAATATCTTACCCGATCGAGCCGAAATATTTATTGCACAAAGCAAATTGAAAGATACGAAGTATAGAAATCACGTAGCGCTCGATCGGAATTTTCTTTGCGTTATCGTCTAAATTTCAATTTGTACAAATTCTTTACTTTGTAATTATGAATTTATTGCAGATTACAACCACTTTCATTTTTTGGATCTTTGTTATTTTGAGGTATTTCTTCCTCTTTTACCGGAGGTAAATCTTGTTCTTTGCTGATTTTCGCTGTTTCGAACCCAATAAGGGTTTTGTAGATTCCCAAATTCCATAGATTGTCGGGAGAAGGCATCTGGAAAGTAATTGGACTGACCAATCCAAAAGTTGCTTTGCTATCTAAAGGAGGTACATCGTGAACCACTGGGTCATGATATCTGAAGAAAAATATTGATTTTAACGTCTAGAAATAAAGTAAAATGATAGCAAATTCAAAATAATCCTTGCTCACATCAAACTGTTTTCTCGTTCGCATTTATCCAATGTACGTTGCACAAGAGGAGCTAAACGTTTGAATACCAGATGTTGATCAGGTTTTACTCTAGGAGCTGGTCCAGTTGTTTTGCTGTATTCCTTGCAAAAAGCCATTGACTTTTCTAAACAAGCTTTACTCTCTTTCAAGGCTCTTATTGCTTGTCCACATTTATCCATAGCCAACAAGTTGTCTCCGCAGTAACTGTATGCCTTGAAAATGTCATACAATGTAATGAAATTTGAATTCAGATTCATCAAGTCAAAATGTTAATCAAAATACTTACATATGATTTGTAGAACATAGATTTTAATTCTAAATATTTTATCCATTGACCTGAGATTTCTGCTTTAAATGGCCTTAATGTATTAGCTGCATCGTTGAATAGTTTACTGGTCTCATTAGATAAGGCTGATATTAGATTGACATTGTGCTTTAGTTCCACAGCTCTAGCAACAGTCACTAAAATTGATAAAATATTGTTGTAAATTATGAAGTAATTAGATAATATCACTGTCAATTGTAAATTTATACCTTCTTGTGCTTCGGCAGTGCACTGATTGATGTAAGCATTAACTACTCGAGAATCCAAATCACTACCAAGAGGTGGTGGACTTGTCAACTGGGGCAGAAATTCTGTTTGCACAAACGTAAATATTCCTGCGGCTCTTCTCAACATACTATGCACTTCTTTAGCTTCATCCATAGTAATGCTACAATAACGAAAACAAATTTATTAACAATATATCAGCGGCATTACAATAAGTTTAAAACCATGGGATACTGACTCTTCTTTCGCTGCTATCATGGCAGCATGTTTCATGAACCACAGGCCTACGTTGATACTCATGTTAGCTGCTTCGTAAACAGCGTCAGCAAAAGTACTGCAAAAACATCATCATTGTCATTGACATATTTGGTTAACAACAACAACATTATACGATCGTAACGTACACAGTGCTCGCTCCAAGCAGCGTATGCGTCCACTTGAAGATGAACGCGTCCCTGAGCTTGCTGGGTGGAGGCCTGCCGACTTTCCCATCGCCGTCGCCGTCCACTTCCCAAATGAAGCCGTACAGCAATTGCAGATACGAGGTGTACGCGGGCTCGATCATCGTGCTGTCGTTGTTTGGATTTTTGATCAGCTCCAGCAGTCTGTTGCGACTGTTCTTCAGATCGCTGCAAGTATGATCATCGATAACAATCGATCAAGGCAATGCATATAAACTTGTATTATTATAGCTCTTACTTGCAAAGTTTTCGTGACGCATCGGTCGGATCGTGATGCTTGAGTTCGAATTTGTGCGGGGTCGTTGCTTTCAGGACGTTACGATGAAACCAGTGAGCCATTGTTGTCGAGGTATAATATAAGTATGCAAAATTCCTTTCTCCCAAGCAGTCGATGCACTCGAAACAATAATATTTACGAGTTCGTATAGACACAAGCAGAAGAAGCGTAGCTTCGATTAACCGCACAATTGAAACTCGACGTCGATCGACTTCTTTATCGCCCACGCATCATCTTTTTATTTCAATACGGTAGTATATACAAAGCCGTAACAAGATCTCATTTTCTAATTATCAGTCGCGAGTTTGCGTTGCCGTTATTATTGAATGCTCGGACACGATTTAATGCGTTTTATTATGATAGCAGCACAAAACAGCTCCTCCGCACTTGTGACTCGATAATCGGGGACTACTGCTGTATGCCTCTTGGTTTTGTGCTATATGTGTGCGCGCAGAAAAGCGGCGGAGGAGACGTCTGCGCAAATTCGCACACACGTACACACACATACTACATTTTGCACGAGGTAGAATGAAGAGGGGAGGGGCTACGACGATTTGAATCTCCGCAGATGGTCTTGTAGTCACGAGAGGTAAGAGAGGTTGACATATGCCGCGGCGAGTGGAAAGTTTTTTGCGGGTAATATAATATATATTTATTATATGGCCTATCGCGGATCTTGTCTCCGTAATCTTGAAAAAAAATTTTTGATTCGATTGCTTGTATATTGCATAAGAATGCGAATGCTTGAATTAAAGGTTATATCCTTGTAGATGCGTATCGTAAAGCTCGAGTTATCGAGAAGTCGAGATTTCCAAAATTTCGCGAAAAAATTCGCGTATTTTCGTATGATTACTTCATACACGAAAGAATTACGATATATCTATTATAAGAATCATTAAGCGCTTATACGCGTGTATTCGATTAGACGCGGCGTTCTAAATTTTTTTCTTTCTGCCCTCGGCGTTCAAAACCGGAATTAATCTATACGCTAATCGTAGATAAATGCCACTAAAGAAAAAAAAACAACGAAGAAATTCCATCTTTTATATTTATTTATTCTTTATAATATTTTTCTGTGTTTATACGGATTGTAGCTTCTTTAAAAAAATTTTTTCTCACGCACAGTTAACAATTCATCGGAAAACAAAAATACATTATACAATATTCTTTACAACATGTATTAATATCTTTCTTTACAACATGTATTAATATCGTAAAAAACAAGAAAAGAAATACATAAATATAGTTTCTATGTATTGTCGTTACACAACGTAATCATTAAAAAAAAAAAAAAACATTATTTTATTTATATCTTTACAATACAAAAGAGTCGTATGACAATTTTTCTTCTGTTATCACATTCATCATCATCATCATCATCGTCGTGAAATATAGGTACAGTATATCGTCATACGCGCGTTAAAAAGTAACTGGACTGTGTGATATGTAAAAAAAAAAAAAACAAAACGACGATGGTCGCGCATACACAACCGTTATAAAAATGTCTTTATAGGTTTCAATCGCGACGTCACATTGTCAACGTCGATTATAATACTCGGAAGACGTTTTTTTTCTTCTCTCTCTACTCCTCCACACACGCAGTTTAGTTATCGTAGATTCCGAGGTATTGGTGGCAGGCGGGGCAGTAATGCTTCTTGGCTTGACAGCCGTCCATGCAGTAGACGCAGGCGGCGCACGGACACAGTCTGCAAAATATATAGAATCGCCGATCAGTATATCGCCGATAAATAAAATCCATTAAGCCGATAACGATCCAAGACCAGATCGGTTCGATAATACAATTTTTTTTAACGTATTTACCCGAAGAGGCAGAGTAGCAGGGCGATGATGTGGGTCTTTCCGGTGGCTTCCGTCTGGATCTGCGTGGTGATGGTGCTGTGACAGTGGGGACACTGCATGGACTGCGGATCCGGGCCGAATTGCGTCTGCTGGACGATGACGACGGGCGCTGGTGGACGATGAGAGAAAAATTATTAATTTTTTTTTTGTTATCTCGTCGCGAATGTATAGTAACGACGATAAGAGAATTTAATTGTACACGACATTGTATTTGCTCTTTGGATATTTTCAAACTCGATTATAATCAAAGTGTAAAACCCGAGTAACCTCAACTAGTTTTTTTAAATGTTGTATCGTGCGTACAGTTACCGAATCGGCTCAGGTCCATCATTTTCAAACGATCAAGATTATGTAACCCCAAATAACCGCGTAACTATCCAGCTTGTGTAGTTTTTTTTTTATGATGATACATGAATGGGCATTCGTTTCATCGACCCGACACTTCAACTTTTTTTAGACCAAAGATAAACTATATATGGTAACCTAATCGAGTATTTTTGTTCGATCGTTCATTCGCGAATAATCAAAAATCCAAATTATCAAAACCCAAGAAGTCAAACGTGTCGAATTAATTAATTGCTTACTCTCTTGCATCGGCGTGGGGTAGTTGGGGCTGTAGGGTGGCGGCGAGACAAAGCCAGCTGGCGGTGGTGGTCCTCCTTGTCCCTTATTCATTGTGTATTGAAAAAAGTTTCTGCAACAAGGAGGAAAATTTTCAATTCGTCTTGCGTATCTATATTCGAAAACCGGTACACGCGAATCCGGATTTTTTATGCGAAAAATATTGTCATCGAGCGGCGCGCGGCATACAAACTGCGCTCATTAATTGAGATCACGTTCGCGCGGGGACTTTGGAAAATATGTTTTTTTGCATTATCAATATAAATATGCGACGAAAGTGCGCGCAGCCTTGAGGGTAATACAATTTTAACGATTCACGATACACACACACATACACTTAACGATCGAAAACTATCGTTAGCGAAAAAAATTTTTTTTTGCTTCTCTTTATCACAACTAGAACTCTCGATGACTCACATACCAAAAATTACACTTACAACAACAATTACGAAAAAAAAAACAACACAAAAGTTGAGTGAATCACTGTGCGCTGCTGTGAACGATCGACGCTCGACTGTACCGAGCTCCGAATCGAGCAGGTGCTATTATACTCGTCGTATCGCAAAAATCGTATAAAGCAGGGAGGAGGAGAGAAGGAGGAGAAGAAGGAAACAACGCGTATCAAAACTTGACGCGACACAAGCTCTTCTTATCTCTCTCTATCTCTTGTGTACCCGCGTAAATTTTGTCCCTCTACGCGTATGTAATCGATAATAAGCGCGAGGGATAACGAAATTTTGCGCGAAAAAGTAGAGTAGGCATCGGTGCAGAAGAGGGCGGACTGATAACGATCGTGAATCACACCGCCAACACACAATAACGCGGTAAACGATGACGGACGAGTTACATTTTTAGAATAATGAACTCAATTACATGCCCGAGTCGCGTTTTTATAATTGATAATGATCGCAGGCCTTTATGACGTTCTTTAAGTCTGAATCTATGTGGGGTGCAATAAAAAGTAGGTCTTGATTCTTAAAAGATGATGATCAGATTTGATATATATCGTTACGTGGGACACACATTTTTGAGGAAATGTAGAGACAGATTTGACGCATACACAGGGGAAAAACGTCACGTGCGCGTGCCTAACATTTACCTTACGTCAGTGTCAACGCAGTTATTTCCGAATGATTCACGTTATTTGTAGTTTCATAACGATAATAGATCTTATAAAGGGTGAGACAATTTTTATTGATAGTGATAAAAATTCAATTTACGCAGGTAAGAGTACGAGATAATTCAACGGTTTTTTTCTTGTTCGTAATCGATTTACGAATTTCAGACTACCCAGTACGTTGACTACTGAGTGAAGAGGATTATACTTATGAACGAAAAAGATATTTTTCTCTTGCGCGAATGTAGCTTTGTTACGTATTGAGCCTCGTAGCGGTAATCGTTAGAATCAAAATATATTTTACTCGTGACATTTTTGACGCGCTTTGATAAAGCAGCAGTGACTCGTGCACGAAAATATTGAAAACACAGGGGAGGTTCGTAGCCGATTGTAAACACAGCAGTCGCGAGCATAGGTATTTAGTGTAATATTTAATACGAAATGTATTTGATTGTTATATAAAATGTTGTATGTTCTAGTGAAACGTATATTGAGAATGAATATTTTTTAAGGTGTATCCTCCCTAGAAAATAAATAATCGGAAATAAATCTAAAAAAGGTTTTAATTTGACTCTTGTCAATAGAAAAATTGTAGCAATAATGAAGGAAGATAAACCATGTACCATTTTGGGCGTAAAATTGTATAATCTTAGGTGACAATGACGAAACAAAATCGGATTGTAAGTGTGATAACATTTTTATTAATTTTCTTTCTTAAACAATTTTTCGAACAATTTAAACAATATTATTTTTTCATTTCGTTTTTTGCTAATTCCTCGTCGCAATTTCCTGCGATAACCAGTTTTTTGGCAGCATGTTTCTTCAAAATATCAGACGCTTCGAAGTCTGTTATTTCATTTGGATACAGCACTAAATTTTCCAAATTATGTAAGATTGGAAAAGATTTTAAAGACGTTAGATTGTTTTTCGATAAGTTAAGCGACTTGCACTGTTGCAAACAATAAAGCTGATACAGCACTTCGTTGCTGAGCAAATTACATTGTAAATTTATTTTAGAACAAAAAGTCAAATATGACTCACAGCCACCCAGTGTTGTTAAGTCTAAATTTGATAAATCAATGGCTGTGTCTTTATCGTAGCCATAAGGATCACTAATTATGGAGTTTAATTTATGTTTAACTTTACATTTGCTCAACATATCTTTGTAATAGTTAGAGCGCAGTGGATCAACTTGAATTAATTCTTCCAATATTGAGATGATTGAAGAGTAATTACTGTTTTCATCCAGATCTAACATCAGTTGTGCCACTGTCAGCTTGGCCCACTTGTTTGAAGGTTCCAGCTCTATTAATTCTTTGTAATTACTCAATTGTTCTTCTAATTTTGAAACATCACGACTATCTGGTAATGTTTTTTCATCTGATGTCGAATATGATTTTCCTTCAAATTCAACAATAAAGTTGTCCAAATTTTCTGGTTTCAAATCACCAAGATCAACAAACCATGTTGGAGAGTACATTTTACCATTAGCTGATTGCCAGCTCCACTGACAATTGTCATCCTGCTTATCTTTAAATAACAGTTTTAAGCTAGAGCTCGACACTTGTTTATGAAATACAACTGTGATGAAATTTTTGTGCAGCCTTATGCACCACAGTTGTGGCGGTGATTTCCAATAATTCAACAGCCATCTCTGATAGAACCAAGTACTCGTGTCGCTTGGATCCGTGAAAGTAGCGTTCATCACCAGATCAATTTCGTTATTGTACACCTGTTGATTGGCAGCATCGCCCAATCGATTGCCGTGCAACTGCTCCAACAGCTTGCTTCTATAATGCCAAGAGGAGTAATTAGAAAAGTTGTTCTCAATTTTGTTGGTGGTAAAGTTCAGCTCGTCCTGCGGCGTGAGCTCTGCCTTCTTAGCCACGAATCTCCTGTAATCCCAGCAGTGAAAGTTCCTCTCGTCCAGCTCGAGGCACTTCTGACACAGGGCCAGCTCCTTCTTCCAGTTGGGCTCCTTAATGCGCTCGATCACCCACTCTCTCTGATGCCAGACGCAATAGGACTTTGGATTCTCCCTCAGGCAGGCCTCGGTCAGAGCCAGCTCGTCCTCCAGTGCCTTCTCCAGCAGCTCCTCGCCGCTGGAGCTCAGCCTGTCGCTCAGCAGTATCTCCCGCCTGACGTTCCACAGCGTGTACACGTCCGGATGATGATAGAGCATCTTCTTGGTGATGTCGGCGAGCTGGTCGTCGAGCTCGCCGGCCTTCCTCATCTTCATCGCGAGCAGGTAGCAGTCCTTGAACTCGCGCGCCTTCTTCTGCTTCTCGGCGCGCATTATCCTCTCCTTCTCCTCGGTCGTGCGTACCTTCACTCGGCCGTGCATCTTGTTGGGCTGCTAACTTTTTTTTTTTATTGTCGTTCGTTAACGATCGCACTTGTTGCTAAAAGAACACACAATGCACACAATACGACAATGAGTCTTTGGACAGCGCCTCTCGCGCGTTTGTTTTGCTGCCTGGTTCTGTTGTTGTTTTTAAGGTTAAACGTGCAACTACGACACATACACCGGATTATTAAAGGTCTTTTCTTTTGCGAATTACGACGTAAAACTCGATATATGGTCAATCGTGCGATGACTCAATCGTGCACAGCACAAATTCAGAGTTACGCTTATGTATTTATTATTATGTGGGCGATCGACGACACGACTGTTGCGTACTGACACACTGACAGCAGCAACTAGCAGTAGGCCGCGATGATCGTGCAGACACTGTGCCGCTACTTGCTTACTTACTCACGCTACACACGCACACACATCTATCGCAGAGCATTAGGCGGAAAGGAAACTTTTTGCAACAGATGTTTCGTTCGTTCGCAATGTTCATGAAGTAAAATGTATAATTAATCGAAGCCGAAATATTGCGAATCGGAATGATCCTGTATATGGGTTCATTAATCTAACGCACACATATCGTACGTGGCTATAATATCGATTATCGGTTTTTCCTTCGGTGGGGTAAGACCTAATATGAGCAACGCATCGTTTTGCAAAATAATAACAACAATGATGATCGCGTTTCGTCATGCTCCGGATGTCGACTTGTGTGTGTTTGTGCGCGAGGAGCAGCCAACGATAAAATTACACGTATCCTTCGCGGCGCAGCAGCAGCTTCCAACCGATTTTTCGTCTCTTATCGGCTCGCGGCTGAAAATACATATACCAGTAATTAACTGCGCGACGCGTAACTTTTTTATATCGATTTATACTTTTGCGTCTTTTTTTACGTGTGTATGTGATATACATATTGTCTTTCTCGCTCTCGAGCGGAGTCTCTTATCGTAATCTATAAAACATTGTTCGTGACATTTTTTTTTTTTTTATATACATGCCCGTGTAATAACTGCGCTGCGCACCACGCATACGTTTGACAATCCGTTATGACAATTCTTTTCTTCTATTTCTTCGACGTTTTATCTTGGTGGAAAAAAATAAGAAAAAAAGATCGCTAGAGAGGTAATGAGTCGAGTATGTAATTCTTTTTTTTTTTGACTTTTAAATATATGTAAAAAGATAATGTTGGCTGTGACCCCGCGCCTTTGTATGCTCAATTCATCTCTTTCTTTCTCTGCTCGGCCCGGCTTTATTTAAGAGGGAGAGAGAGAGAGATCGGTTACATCTGTAAATTACCAAGAAAATATGCCTGTACGCTCGCTCAGCCATTCCCTCGCGTACTCGGTATAGCGATAAATATTTTTGCGATTAAAATTTTGCTTATACGACCTCGAGCGCAGCGCGCGAACGTATATCATTATATATTCGACAAAAGTGTCTCTCTTTCAGCTTCGCGCACGAAAAAAAAAAACGAGAAAAAAAAGGAGAGATAGCGAGAGAGAAAAAATGTGGCGCGGCTGTATTTTACACGCAACGGCTTTGAAGTAAAAATGTATGAACACACAAAGCACCGATCGCGTCGAGAGCGGAGATCGGCCGAGTGCGCGTGTACTTGGTCGCCCGATATATTATATATTCGACAACTTTAATGCGCACTGTTATGTCTCTCTCCTTTTTTTTCATGTGGCGCCGAGATAAGTACGTTCGAGATTTCGAATATTTTAATTTTAATTTTGTCGTCTCGTAAATTAAATGAAGAAGAAGAAGAAGACGATGAAAATGCACGAATCGTTTTGGCACGGATCGTGTCGCAAGGTGGAAAACAAATATAAGAGAAGTGGGTCAAAATAATACACAGAATGCGCTTGTTATAATTTCCTACATTTCGACTATCGCAAACGGTGAGAAGTTGAACGTATGAACAACAATAATAAAAAAAATATTGATCGCGCCAAAGTTAACCCTTTGTCAACATTTACACTTAAATAAAAAACTATACTAGTATGAGCTCTCACCTGTTCGATCGAAAGTTTAAAATAAAGCGATCTCCGCCGACTCCGTTGACTATATGATATTATACACACGTCTGTGGTGCACACTAAACTCGCTGGCGGCCGGATCGGTACTGCGCGACGGCGTAGCGCAGAAAACTTATAAACTGCGCTCTCCGCGCCTCGATAAACGTTCGCACTAACGAGAGCGACAGAGAGAAAAGACGGATAAAACCAACGCATCTGTATGTTTCTCTCTCTCTCTCTCTCTCTCTCTCTTCCTCGTTTTTGCCTGTTCTCTCGCTCTCTCGAGAAGTGGGAGAATTCGTTACTTTTTTTTTTGTGTGTGCACACACGTTTGGGGAAGTGTCTTACGATATATACAACACACATCCTATATAAATAGACTCGATACAATATTGTATACAGGCGAAAAATTGTTCGAGGGGAAAAAACGGAGCAGGGAATAGCCCAGGCATTGTACTCATCTCTCTCTCTCTCTCTACTACTACTTCTACTCCTAAGACTTCCCCGATTTTACATTACATATACCCAAGGATTTCTTTTTGGGCAGTGCTAAGGATGACGTCAGGTCATTGTTTGTATTACGTGCCTCTCGACTATGTGTTATACTTTGTACATCGACAACGACCCTGATTCTTTTTTCTTATTCTTTTTCTTGGCTCTTTCATTGTTATTATTGCTGTACGCGCGCTGCTGCCGGCTCGCGCAAAGAGAGCCCGCGCGCGAGCTTATCTGATAAGGTTCGCCGCGGCGGCGGCGGCGCTTTTTTTTTTATCGGCGCGCAACAGATTGGTTTTTACCCGTGGAATAATAAAAAAAAAAGAGTCGAAAAATGAAAGGAAGATACAACGGAGAAGAGATGAGAATAAAAAGTATATTACACGTTTAGCATCACAATCGATCGTTAAATGTATCGTTAATAATTGTATCGCACGCAATTTAATTTACATAATATGGCATCGCGCACAACGTTGCAAATTCTTCGTCGTCGTCGGCACAGCAGCTGCTTCGAAATTTTCGATCGCAAGCCGGCGAAAGAGAAGAAAAAAAAAATGTCTTCTCTACTCGTGGACCTCTTCCTCGGCCTCGTTGTCGCTGTCCTTCTTCTTGTTCTTCTTCTTCTTCTCCTGCTGCTGCTGCTTCTTCTTCTTCTCCGAGCTGAGCTTCTCCTTGCGCACCTCGTCGCGCAGCTCGCGTATCGTCATGCCCTTGAGGTCGACCCGGCCCAGAAGCTCGCAGCACTTCGGACACCTGTGCTGGGCCTCGCGCGACCCGTCCACCAGCATGAAGCCCGGTATGCAGCAGAAGCAACTGCGCGTGGTGGCGCGTGACGCAAAAAAAAAAAAATAAAATTAGAATTGAAACAACATTCCCCTTTTAACTTTCGAAATCGAGTATCGATAAATGGATATGTCGCTTACCAGAAGAGGCACATGAGTCCCAGAATGATGCAGGTGAGACGCTTGGGCACCTCCTCGACGTCGGTGATCACGTTCTCCTCGCAGTACGGGCAGAACTTCTCGATGGGGGCTACGTTTTTCGCCAATTCGGGCATCTTGTCCGCGGAAATTTTTCACAACGATAATGCAGGATCGGTGTATGTCTCTCTATTTTTAATTAAAAATATTATCCGTTCTTTCTTTGTTTTGGCGCGCAAAATTTTTACGGCAGCGTTAAGTCCCTATTGACGCCTTTTTTCACGTTCGGGTGTCTTCTTCTTTTCCGACACATTCTCCGCTCGGAGAGCTAAACATTTCGACTAAATAACCCAAGCGTCGGCGTTACGATCGCGAGAAGTGTATAATATATACGTGCGTGCGCGGGTGAATATATGAGAGAGCAGCACGCGGCGCTCCCGCGCGGGCCTCCGTACACACACACAGGCGCGTCTTCCAAATTCGGCAATCGCTGTATAATGATATGCTCACACGATCACACATGTATACGATACACACGACGAATGTCACTTATCATGAGCTTACTGCATGCCTCGATAATTAAGTAATAAATTGAACGATTGATTCTCGTTGTTAGATAATAATTCAATAGTTTCTAGGTCGAGTTATGCGAGGAATTGAATTGATTAGCCCGCGGCCTGGGTCGTGTCAAGATAAGAGAGAAAGAGAGTGCTGTAATTAAAAATGCCAATTTTTTTTTCTCGGAGGAATGATTTTTTAAATAACACAGTTTTATTGTTTCATGTACAACAGTTACGTTCTCGAATATTTACAAAAAAGAAATGATTTTTTTTTAACAACATGTATCGCACAGAGAGAGATTTTTAGGCTGACTTATCGCTGAGTTCGGTGTTTTTTTCGTCTTTTACGTGCTTCTCGGTCTTGGCACTCGTATACTTGGATTCTTCGGCGATGAATTGGGAGTTTACGTCGCTGGGCGTTTTTGGGCTTTCCTCCTTGAGCTCGACTTTTTCTTCGCTAATTGGCTTGGAGCTTTCCTCCTTGAGCTCGACAATTTCTTCACTGGGCTTGGAGCTTTCCTCCTTTGGCTCGACATCATCTACACTAGGCTTGGAGCTTTCCTCCTTTGGCTCGGCATTAACTTCTCCGTTAAGCTTCGAGCTTTCTTGCTCGGGCTCGACATTTTCTTCACTGGGCTTGGAGCTTTCCTCCTTGGGCTCGGCCTTTTCTTCGCTAGGCTTTGAGTCTTCATTCTTGGACTCGCTGGTTACATCGACTTTGCAAGTTTCGTCGTCGTTGTTGGGCTTGGAGTTTTCATCGAGGAGTTTGCAAGTTTCGTCGACGACCTTGTCTTTTTTGTCTTTGAGCTCGACTTCGGAGGTACCTTTCTTGAGGATTTTTTCGTCCTTCAGGTCGTTCCAGAACTTCTTCAAGTCGTCGATACCGACCGCCTCTTGCTTCGGCACCTCGTCAATTTTGTGCTTGCACTCGGGACACTTGTGGATTATGATGTTCTGATTCATGCACAACAGACAGTGACAAGCCGGGATACACAGGCAGCAACTGCGGAAAGATTTCACACCGATATACATATACTTATGATCTCGAAGCAGAGTCGTGTAAGAAAAAAAGAGAGATTTCACACTTACCAGCAGCAACACATGAGCGTGTAGAGTACCTTCAGGTACCAGGGCCTCTTGACCGTGACCTGTGTTACGATCTCTTTGTGACAGTTCGGGCAGGTCATCTCCTGCGGCTGAGACGCGAAAAGGCTCGATATGCAGCACATCTTGGACGACGAAGATATTCGATTGACAAAAAAAAGTAAAAAAAACGATTGTGACTTCTCTCAAAGTCGAAAGTGAACTCGACGTGATGTACGCCCGGCGATCGATGACTTACTTGCTCATGCGTTTCTCTTATCGCGGCTACACGCAGAGATTCGTGAGATTGTTCCCCTCCGCTGCGCTCGACGATCGATGAGCGAGGTATAGGTGCCCCGGAATTTTGCAAAAAAAAATTACAATGTCTCCGATCAATTACAAAGTACTTGTGATCGATTCGGCCAGGAATTCGAGAAATGATTTCGAAACTTGCTTGGATCATGTTATAAGTATTTGTGGTATTTATTTTTTTGTACATTAGTATAATGTAGCATATAAATTTTGTAGTACAATAATCATCCTTCTTAGACACGCTTCTAGCGTTGCTTCATTTCACAATTACATTTAATCTTTTTTGTTCGTTTCACGATATTCATTAGTTTACAAATATCAATCAAATAATCAATCGATGAAAGAGATTTTTTTTCATATGTGAACGTGTAGTATTCGAGCTTTTCGTACAAATCTTCGAGTCATTCAATAAAATACGAGGAAATATCTTTTGGACAAACTTTTTTTTTGCAATAGCCTATTTACGTCAGTGGTTCAGATACGATTTTTGTCAAAAATTGCCCTTGCGACGATTCTATAAAAAACCTGAATGCAAAATATCATGGGCTTTTGTTGGCAAATTTTCCTACTTCGTTTTTTTTTCCATATCTTTTTTTGTACTGCTTTGATTTGTTCAAAACTGTGCATACTACAATTTGACTATTTTTATTTACGGGTGTATTCTTTCATCAATTTTAGCCATTTTTGTTTTTTAATAATGTAATACTAATTTTTTTACAGACTTTGAATTATTCAGTTATCGACGGGAGTTTTGTATCGACGGTACAAAAGCTCCTGTTCATTCTTGCTCTATTATAAATATCATCATTTCAATAAATCGATAAAGGAAGACTTGTACTAGTTACTCAGGGCATTAAGAAGCACTCATGTACAAAATGTTCTATTAAAAAAATGAGACTGTGCGTATTATCGATGATAAGTAAAAAATCATTAAAATACGCATTTGTTTGATTTCTGATGGGTTACCAATTACGACGATTCTTCGTATAAAAAGGCAACGCCTAGGACGTACAAATGTAAAAATTCATACATCGACAATTTACTATACAAATAATAAATTAACTTAAGATTAATCGTATTCAATAGTTACGTATTTCACTCGTGTATCTCGCTACGATCACATTTACAATATGACAATGGCTGTAACGATACAACAATAATTTGATACTTAAGATAAAAAAAAACAGAGTGGTTGAGACTAGCAATTCTCGTGACAGTATAAAACTCATTGCACATTTGATTATTTTACTAGTAAATAAAAAAAACTATACAAACAACCATATAGTATAATCTGGCACTCTTCTTTATGGCAAAAAATAGTAATAATAAGTTACGATGCAAGCCAAGAGGTGCAAATACTTTCGAATAATAAAATTTAAATTTCATTTTTAGTTCATAATACACTATGCCGAATGAAATAAAAATTAAGGAAGAATTTCTGTGATGCACTTGACAAATAAATAAAAAAAATCACGTTATTGATCAAAAAATCAATGTAATCAAACGAACACTCTCACGCACGTCAAAAACTTTTTTATATAAAAATTGTTCTACTTAGGCTAGCGTTTCAAAATACTTAGTCAACTTTTGTTTATTCGAAAACCTAATTGGAACAAAAAGTGCAATAATCTCGGAATTATTATTTGACCAAGTATTTAAAAATACTTCCTATCGACGTATAAATATTTTTATCAATATTTCATCGCTAAACAATCAGCATACTATGTATAATCAATATAGTATTATGTACAATAATTCTTTCATTCATTACTAAAAATCTTTGTACACTTGTATTTTTTAAATAAAAGTGTAAAAGATTACACTGTTTGACCAAATACAATCGAGAGTTCATCAACTCATTAAACATCTAAATCGTACTTTTTATCCTTCACATAATATCCCTATACGTTACATATACGAGTACGGCAGTGCTCTCTATTCATTATACACATTTATATATAATATCGGTTTCAGATCACTCACACACACAAACACACACGACATCGAACATCATATAGTCTATTACGATTTCAATTCACATTTTCTCCCTTCTGACAATTTCGCTTTGCAATTATTTACAAAATAATTGACTACGCGCGTAACACGTGTATGTCCTACGATGCGTGTTTCATTAGTGCCTTATTCAAATAACGCATGGCTTTGATCGAGCCCGGCTGCTGCTGCTTCAACGTATATAACAATTCTTCGGTTTGATTTAGATTCGAGTAGGTGTCTCATGGACGCTGATGATCCGGCGTTGACTTGAGAATGTCTGGCTGCGTGGGCATGTAACTCAATAATCCTGTTTCAACAGAACGACAAACGAATGAGTGAACGAAAAAAATCATGAATTTTATCAGTTGTAATTGAAAAAAAAAAAAAAAAAAAAAAAAAACGNAAAAAAAAAAAAAAAAAAAAAAAAAAACGCACTTTGACAAATGAGGAAAAAATGAATGAAAAATAAATTGACGCTTACATCGGTTCTGTCCGAGATTTGTCGGGTGGGTTGATAGGAACATTTTTTTCGGATCTCTAAACTGCCAGACCCACGCAATAACCCCCGGAATACCAAGATCAACCTTGAACACAATATATATAATAAAATGACACAACATTTTCGTGAGTGTGAGCAAACAGAAAAGACAAAAGGAGACGAAAGAGCCGCATATTACAATAGATAGAAATCAAAAAGTGTGCACAGGAGAAAAGTACAAAGAACAATTAATAAACTATACAACGAGAGATAATTGCACAATTGAAATTACCAGTGGCCGTTCTCAGCGTGGACTTGATCGAGCGATGCGAGCCGTTGCGCGTCAGCGTGTTCATCTGGGGCGTGCCGGGCAGCGTGTGACCGAGGGCGTTCATGTAGTCCGCAATGAGCAGGGTGATCTCCAGGATCTTGGGCTTGCTCAGGGCGAGTATGAGCTTCTGCTCGGCCGCGCCCTCGTCCGGACAGGCGACGAGCATGAAGTCGTCGAGGCAGCCGCCGAACGTCACGATGTTGGCGTAATTGTAGCGACAGATCACGGCCATCGTCTGGAGCTCGAGCAGCGTCACGCTGTCCTCGTTCACGGCGATCCAGACGGTCTGCGGATCGGGCTGCTTGATCTTGGCCTGATAGAGGGTGGCGCCGAAGAACGGCCACTTGCGCGTGCACGTCAGATAGATGCGCACGCAGTCGGCGATGCTGCGGCCCTTCAGCGACATCCACTTCTCCTGCAGCTTGTCCTGCAGCTCGCGCAGCTGCTCGGCGGTGATGTTCGACCTGTAGCGCACCGGATAGAACTTGTCCAGCGCCTGGAGCACCACGTGATGCGGATTGTTGCTTCCACCGCTCTGACCACTGGTGCCGCGAAGCTTGTCGGCGTTGTACTCGCCGCAGTCGATCTGCGCCATCAAGCCCGCCAGTTCGAAGGCCAGCTCGCGATTCACCGGGAACTTGCCGTGCACCACCTGCTGGTTCACCTGGTAGCAGAAGAGCAGACGCTCGCGATCCGTCTCCATCTTGGCGGCGTGACGCCAGTAGCAGCGCGACTTGTAGGTCAGCTGTATGACCCGGGTGTTCTCGAACTTGCCCGAGCCCTTCTCCCTGAGGGCCGTCTCCCACTTGGATATGATGTCGCAGAGCTTGGCCTGCATGTCGATGAAGTGCTCGAGGTCCTTCTCGATGGGGTCGTCGCTGAACAGGGTGAAGCCCGACTGGTGAGCGTCGCGGCAGCCGATCTCCTGGTTCATGGTGGCGAGGAACTCCTCGATGGTGGTGCTGCCGTCGAAGCTCACCACCTGGTACGTGCCGTTGAGAAAGTGGACGGGTATGGCGTGCGGCAGCGAGTGATGATAGGGATTCTTGAGCAGTATCGAGAGCACCTCCATGCGCGAGGGCTTGACCTCGCGCGGACCGTTCTCCAGGGTGCGGGCCAGGGCTCGCTCGCAGTAGGCCGCGTACTTGCCGCACTCGGTCCTACACGAAGAATTAGTCATTATACGAATTCACCACCTTCTGCTTGACATATATAGACGATAAAAAAATAAAAGACACCCACTTGCTGTCGGCGTTCCTCTGCAGGTGCTTCTTCAGATACCACAGCACCCGATTGTTCCTGGGCAGAAACAGCGAGACGGCCAGCGAAAGCAGCTGCCAGCCCTGTATCATCACGAACTGGGCCGGATTCGTCTTGCAGTCGTGCAGACTGGTCGAGGACGAGTGATGATGATGATGATGGTGTGCCTGCGCGCAGTTAGGATGATTGCTTTGATGAGTATTCGAGGACGAGGAGGAGTGGTGCGGCACGCCGACGATGGATTGAACGTCGTCGGCGTGATCGCCCGAGCCGCCGCCGGAAAAGCGGCAGTCGGTGGTGCCGTTGGCGTGATGGCCGTGGGCTTGGTGCAGGGCGTCGCAGGTGAACAGCGACTGCGTTGCGCACAGCAACAATTGCTGCAATTGATCACAAACACACGGTATGCTGGCGTGTATATGCCTTGGCTTTTAGACTTGTAACATTTTTTGTTGTTGTCTCGATTCGTGATGAAACGATGAAGAACGACGTGACGTATAATTGATTTATCGAATGATTTTACAAGATACATATAAAGGAGTTTAGGCTCTCTCTTTTTTTTAATTTTTCTACTCGTTAATTCGTTAATTCCCATTTTCCAGAATTTTACTTTCAATTTGTAAACTATATTTAAAAAGAGAGAGAGGGAAGGAAGAGAATGAAACTATTTATATCAAAAGCAGAGTGTGTATAATATATAATAACAAGATTCGGATGCTCATTCTACACCGAACTATTCTAGTTGCTCAGTGAATATATATTATCTAGCGCTTTAGAGCTTCTCATCTGCTGTGCCACTAATATAAAAAATATCGTTCAGCGTGATGAGAAAATATAAGAAAATACCAATTGTTATAATGTAAATGACAGCAAATACAGTTGAATATTTATACATCGGAGTGAAGAAAAAAGAGAGAGATGTATATGATATAATCAACAATAATTCCAACTAGTTCGTAAAAATTAAAAAGAGTGAATGAAAAATTCTCTACACAAAAAAGTATTATTATTTATCGTTCGTATGTGGTCGATATGAAAAAAAAATAATCGATATTCCGTGTACACCAACATACCAGTTTTTGCAAACAATGTGCGCGCGCGACGCTCGAGCGTACTTTGAATTCCATGGCTATTGTAACTTTAATAATTATTTTTCCTCTTTATGCATAAGATGATTCGAAGTACGCTCGATTCGCTCGATTTATATAATAATGGGGAGATGAGTTTTTTATATAAATAAATATCTATCCAAAAATTTGGATCGAGTCATATTTCGATCCTCGTATGTGACAAAAATTGATGATTTTTCCATGAATTAATGATGAGTGCAGCAAAATTATTATGATTATGATTATATGATCGTGACAAGAACGAAAGGCATGCGACATTTTTTTAGTATATAAATATTAAAGAGCACATTCAAAGCGGCAAATGAAAGTGAATAATGTGTGAATTGTTGAAAAAAATACTGAAATGTTAGTCGTGTTATTCACTTCGTCAAGTATATTATAATAATATTATTGTTAATCGTTACTATTAGCGACATAAGCTGCTACACCAATTAATTTCTGATTAGTAAATTACCATCTCGTTTACCAGCGTATCGTTACCACACCGAGTTTTCTTTGAATATTCTTTCGATTATACGATTCGATGAATGATTCGATTGATTGTACACAGCTTAAGGTGCTCGACAAATAAGAATATTCAAAGAAAAGAACGCGTTCGATACTTGACCAAGTCTATATATCCGATTGCGCGCACGAGTAACAAGAGAAAAGTAAACATCAAATTTTGCAAACGAGACTTTGTGCACGCATCGAACGATCTCCTGTTTCTCAATGGCGCGTCATGGATGCGTGATCTTGTCGTGTTATTAGTGATGATGACGAAAATAAGCTTTTTTTGAAGGGTGGGACTTACGACGCGCGCAGTCGCGCCCAGCGACACGTGTCTTGCGGCCTTTTTTACCTGTACGCCCAGCCTGTGCTGGGTGTGTCTGCTCGTCTGCTTCACCAGGGCGCAGATGCACTCGGACTGGAGCTCGGGCTGGTCGAGGCACTGCTGCAGGGCGTTCTGCGCCAGCACCACGTGGTAGTCGATACCGGCCTGCTCCACCGCCACCGACATGAACAACTGTATCGCCTGTGTTTTTGGGAGATAGTCATCGTTAATTTGCACAATTTTTCTCTTCATTTCTTATTGTCTATAAACTCTACCTTGAACAACTTCACCGCTTCGGTCTGCAGCGACTCCGAGGTCAGACTCGTCAACGGACTCGTGATGTTCTCCTTGCTGTAGAGTAGCAGCGGATGCCGCCACAGTACGCAGTTCGCATCGCCGTCCGTCTCCATGAGCTTGTGCACCATCTGCTCGTACTGGGTGCCGGCGTTGGGACCGCCGCCCGACACCACCGTCAAGTGATAGAGCCAGTTGTCCTTGTCCTGCTTGTGCTGCATGAGAAGATAGGTGGGGCCCTGATGCGACGGGAAAATGCCGATGGTCTGCTCGGGTGGGGTGTGATCCGAGTCGCGCTCCTCGCTGTCGCTGTCCGACATGTGCTCGACCTCCTCGACGCGGGCGTCGCGCATGTTGATCTGGCCGAGTGGATTCTGCGAAAGAAAAATTACACGATCAGTCCACATTTTTTAATGATAATTTCTGTTTCGTACACTCACCATATCGTTGGGACACTTGAAGTAGAGGAACATCTTGCCGATGAGCACGCACCAGCACTTCTTGGCGTGCCCGTTCTTCACCTTGGTCAGCCAGCCCTGTATCGTTGGCTTGTTGTCCTCGCGACTCAGCAGCAGCTTCGTCGCGTTCCTACGCTGCACGTTCTGCAGCACCCTTATCCAGTCCTCCATCGTGGCTATGCAATCGGCGGTAAGATAGTACGTCTTCTTGCCCGTGGCTATCTCGAAGGTGGCCGCGCCCTCGGCCCTGTTGATGCGACACACGTCGTCGAGCATGATCTGTCCCTGGGGTTTGCGCTGCGCCGCGTCGCTCTGGCTCTTCCAGTAGCACAGCACGCCGTTCTTGAGCACGAAGTAGCGCTTGCGCCAGGTCTTGAGCTTGCCGCCGAGCTTGGCCAGATGGCCGGATTTTTCCAGGGACTCGAGTCGCTTGGGCGAGTCGCCGGAGACGCGCATCAGCAGGCTCGGCATCGAGGACTCGAGCGAGGTCGAGCTCAGTGCGTCGGGCGGTATCGCGTAGTCCTCCGACAGGCCCGACTCGATGGACCTGTCGCGCTTCACGCTCTTGCTCGGCGAGCCACCGCCGCTGCCGGAGCTGCGCTTGGCCGGACTGAGGCTGCTGTTGGTCTTGACGCTCTTGGACGGACTGCTGGCGCTGCCCAGCGACGACTCCGTATTGTCGGACGAGCTGTTGGTAATGCGCGTGCCGCTGCTCTGATGATGATTGTTCTGATTGTTCAGCAGCAGCAGATTGTTGTGATCTCCGCCTCCACCACCGCCACCGCCACCTCCGCCTCCGCCACCCTCGCCGTCCGAGCTGTCGTCGGAGCTGTCGCCGAAGGGCATCGAGCGTATCTGACTGGCGCGACCCTTGACCGTGGCGTAGACCGGCACGGAGATGTCGCAGTAGCCCTCGGTGGCGCGATGATTCGACGTCGAGTGCTTGGACGAGGCCGTGTTGGTCGTCGTGGAGGGCTGGGACGAGTCGTCGTTGGTCGGCGGACCGATGCCCAAGCCGCCGTCGGCAACCTGCGTGCGGAGGAGGGCCAAAAGCATAGTGAGTGAGTACGAGCGGTTACGAGTTCATAAATAAGATGAAAAAAAATCGTCAACAATTTTTAGTGAAATTAGTACATAACACACATTGAAAGATCCATATGTTATGCGCCCGCTCCACTTTACGTCTCGCACGGAAGGGACCGATTTCAGCGCTCTCGTATTTGTATAATATAGTTATAATGTTAATTCAAAAGAATGTATACAAGCCGACAGAAAAGTAGAATCGAGATGCACACAGTTAAGCTCTCTAAAGTCACGCTTTGACAATACCGTTTTAGCCGAATCAGTCCCTTGGACACCACCACCACCAGTAGCAGTAGCAGTCGTCGTCACCTGGTAAATTTTGGCCTCCCAGCTCGGGAACCTGTGCAGCGGTGGCGTGGGTGGTCTCTGCTGCTCTCGCTGCTTGTGATGCTGCTGCTGCTGCTTCTGCAGCTTTCCGTCCAGCAGATCGTCGGAAGATTTGGCGGTGGGCGCGACGGCCTGAGCCGCTCCACCGGCGGCGTTGGCACTGGGCCAGGTCGAGCCACCACCGACGATGGGACCCACGCCTACGGAACCAGTGGGCCCCCCCGTCATCACCGTGACGGAGGCACCCTCGCGACTCGGCGTGTAGATCTCGGCGTAGTCGTGCATGGCCTCGTTGGCGCTGTCCGCCGAGGCGCCGCTGTCCCGGAGACTGGGCGTGGTCGAGGCGACGCTCGAGGCCGTGCCACTGGCGCCGGGTATGAGGGACGAGGTCGAGGTCTGCGTCTGCGTCTGCATCGTGCTCGTCGGCATCAGCACGAGGTTCTCCACGGCGGCGGCCAATTCCTCCGACAGGAGACTGAAACAAAAATCAATGACGTTATCGATCGTCTCTTGGCCACACAAAGCCAATCCCTAATTTTATTTTTATACCTCGAGTCCATATTGACGTTGTTCTGCACTCCGGCCTGCTGTAGTAGCGTACCCGAGCAGGCGGAGAAGGAAAAGTGCCGGCGATGCTTGGTATTGGCCGGGGACGTCTGGGCGCTCTTGGACGCCTCCGGGGGTAGATTCAGCTGGTGCTGATGATGCGGCTGCAGCGGATGATGATTGTTGTGATGCTGCTGATGATGAGCGGGCAGCAGCTGATCGCCGGCCGCCGAGGAGTTGTTCGAGGCAGCCTCCGGCATCGCCGTGGAAGTCACTTGCTGATGATGATGATGATGATGATGGGCGGCTGTCGTGCTCTCGAGCACCTCCGAGCGACGGCGCAGGTTCGAATCGACCTCGAGCGACAGCACGACTCGCGTCTGTAGCTGCGCAAAAAAATGTACAACGAATTAGTAAAGGAATGGAGTTTCGTTGATCGAGGAAGACATTAGACATACCGGTGGTCTCAAGCCGATGTTACGTATGTGATTGCGCAGCAACTCGAGCTGCTGGGTGCACTTGTCGTTCTTCTCTCGCAGCAGCTGGTTCTGCTCCTCGAGCTCGCGCAACTTGTTCGTCACCCACTCCTTGATCAGCGCCGCTTTGGCCTTCACCTGTCTTCGGTCCTGCAGTCTCAGCTGTCGCTAAAATAAAATTAAAAAAAAAACATTAATCAATCGATCGATCGTCCTTTTTTTTATATCGAGAATAATTATGATCGCAAAATTACCTGCTCTTCGACCTGGGTCTCTAGCTTCGAGTAGCAGGCGCAGTGCACGTCGTTGTCGGCGGCTGCGTTGAGCCGGTCATTGTTCTGCAGGGCGGCGAGCACCACGGCGCTGTTGCTGTCCGCGAGTACGGCTGCGGCGGTGGCCGAGGCGCTGCTGCCTCCTCCACCTCCTCCGACGCTGCCAACACTCCCGACGCTGCTGTTGTTGCTCGTCGAGGTGGACGGCAGCGAGGACGAATTGTTGTGGGCCGGCGAGCCCGCGGTACTCAGGCAGTATTCACCCTTCACCAACCGCTCCTCCATCATCCGTACCTAGATCGGGGTAGATTGTTGTCGTTGAGTTAATTTTCTTTTAGATAAGGTGCATTTTTCTTTTACGGAAAAATCATATGATAGTCGTATTTTGTGTCATTCGCCGGTTATCAAAATCTGTAACCTAACGTTACTTATACATGGTGTCTTTTCTTTCTCTTTTTTTTATTTTGGATTTACGCTCGTTTTTTTTTATCCCATGCTCGGTCAGGATCACACTTTCTAAACTATTATCATACGCACTACGCTTAATAATAAAAAAAAAAAAATAGATTTCCAAGCTACGAAATCAACAATAAAAAAAAATTAAAAGTAAAAGCTCTATTATACTATCGTTGAATAGAGTAAAAATCAAAGGATATTCATGATACTTGTACCTTCTTCTTGACATAGCTAATGTGCTCGTAATGCGACTGCGACGATGATGACATCGTACGTCAGACGACGACAACGATCACGAGCATCAACAACGGCGACCGACGATTACGGCCCGAATTACGATCGGCGACTGCTTCGTGGTCGCTCGTTTTTACAATAAATCTCTCGCTTGTTATTATCTCTTTATCAATCGCGTCGATCGTCGAAGCAGCGGAGGTAATAATAGCAGCGGCGCACGACAACAAATAAAACAACAATATCGTCCTCGCGACTTTGACGAAGCGTAAAAAGTTGCTGGTAGCGGCGGCGGCGGCGGTGGCGGAGGAGTGCGATGAGTAGTAGTAGCAGCGGTAGCAACAGCAACAAGCCATGCCAGTACCGAGATCAAGCATGTGCGTCGGACGCGTGGGTGCAGGTGGTGCCGGTGGCCGCCTCGCCTCGCGTATGATCAGCAGCAGCAGCAGCTCGTTCTTGCCTCCTCCGCCAGTTACTGCCATTACACCACCCGCGACACGATCGACGACGGCCACGCGATGTGTTCTTGTTGTTGTTGTTGTTGTATTATAATTATGCTGTTTCTCGGTCTTAACGACGACGAGTTCTGTGGACAATTTTTTTGGGCCTGTTGTTGTTGTTGTTGTTTTTCGTTGTTGTTATTGTTGTTATTGTTGTCGGATTTTCTTTTCTTTCAAACCTCTGCAGCGGCAATTACGTACTATATGACAATGAATATGCACGTGCTGCAACGTCGCGTGAGCTGAGCAGGCGAGCGAGTGTAAGAGAGAGAGAGAGAGAGAGAGAACAGGAAAGAAAGAAAGAGCAGCTGTCGCGCTTCGAGGACGGAATCGATAAAAGCGCGTGCATTTAACCATCACCAGTGCGTCGACTCTCCCTTGTAGTACATATATAGTGCTGCTGTCCGTCTCTCACGCTGGCACAGCAGCAGCAGACTATGACTGTTATATATACCAGGGGGGCGACGACACGCTCGCACACGGTGTTATATAGTTCTGCTTCTATCTCTGTCTTGCTCTCGCTCACCCGCACTCGTGTATATATATTATATAGAAAAGGAAAATCAATACTTTGGGACGCTCGATTTTTTTTGTGTCTACTTATTGTTTAAATACTCTAATGAGTCACGTTTGTTTGTTTATTCTTTATTTTCTGTCGTTCATCGAGTATGGTGTATGAAAGTAGCGTTGGTGTGTGCCGATACTTATAGCTCTCCCCGTGTACTTGTCACTGGTGACTCATACGTTTTCCTTACTCTTTTTTTTTCTCGTACTACCGATATCGTTACGTAAGATTTTTCGGAGCCTCGCGTCTCGCGCTTGATCTAACGCAGAGATGGCCTTTACATTTTTTTGTATAAATCAAGGATAATAAATATATCTCAACACTACGAGGTATTGTACATTATGTATTTTTGTCAAAGCTTTTAAGCAATTTTTAACAAAGGGACTATTCATACAAATATGGTCAAAATAATCTGCAATGTATATTAAAAAAAGCTCTTAAAAGCTCATGTTATTTACTGCTAACTACTTTAATATCAATAGGCCATCTTTCAAGCTTTGTTACACTTAAATATAATAATAATAATAATAATAATAATAATAATAATAATAATTATAAACAAGGCTCAAATATATATCCAGCACAACGTGTGTGTGTATACATGTTCCTCTCAACTCTTCTTTTTTTTCTCGCGACACGACACTACAGCAAAAGCGAGCAGTCTCGCGCGCGGGCGCGAAAATCATAGCGGGTAAGTTATGCTGCCAAAATCATGTACTCTCTCTCGCGTCGCGGTACACACACAATAGGCAAAAGCGAAAGTGTTGTGTATTATATACAGCCGTGGCGGCACGATGATGGTCGCAGCGGCGCCTCGGGCGGGGCGGGGTGCGCTGCCGATTGTATAGCATCACACGGTTCGGGTGTTTAAAAGCCCCCCAAAATTATATTACATTTAAAAGCGCAAGAGAGAGATGTCCGGAGAGCAATAACACGGACGTGGTAACTAATAGGACAGTGCGGTTGGTATATATAGGTACACGATACACACAGAAATACACAAAACACAATAGGATAAGTAAGTAAGTAAGAAGCCCTACGATACATCGGATAAAGAGTTTTCGTATATAGATATATAAATGTATACGTAAGCTTTAATCTCACCCTTGGATGAATCCATGCTTAATTCGATCAGTGTCGAGCGGCGCTAGCGAACGAACGAACGAAACCAACCAACCAAAGAGAAGAAAGAGACTCAGCTGGCTGATTAGATTTTGCGAACTTCTTATCTAACCCACGTAGTAGCACAGAGAGAAAAGAGAGAGGTAGAAACACCCACGCACAAAGGAAAGACAGAGAGAGAGACACACATAAACCACCGGAGAGATACAAATTGAGCGAGCGAGAAGCTGCAAAAATGTGCGCGCGTGCACTACTGTGCCCCTGTGCCAGGCTGTATACTGGTCACTGACCACACCGCACACGAGTGAGACACTACACACTGCACAGTGCAGTATACAACAAAGCTCGCGCGCACTGCGTATACACACACTATGGGAAGATCGACGACGGTAGGTAGGTAGCCGTTGTGGAAGCGGCCGCAGCGGTGGTGGTGGAGGCGGCAACAGCGGCGGAATCGGCGGCTGTACGCCTATATATAGGTATATTATATAGAAATAGGAGTAGAGTAGTATAGGCACAGCCCGAGAACTGTGTGACTCATGGGTAGAAAAGCTATAGCTAATACCCAGCCTCGAGTCGAGAGAGAGAAGGGACGTTACACAGTCAGTCCTATATACGTGTAAGCCCATGACGCGAGGGTGAGCAGTTATGCTATATATTTTAGACATTAATATATAGGTATATACGGAAGACGTGTATACGCAAATGGGGATCGTTTATAAAAGAGAGAGAGAGAGAGAGGAGAGAACTCGATGATCAGCCAAGAGAGAGATGCTCGAGTGAGGTTATTTGTTTGCCGAACGTCGCGCATATATACACGCAGTGTTCGAGGGGGGTTTCTGCAAAGAGTCGAGAGCTGCTTATTATTATTATTTTTTTTTTTTCATCCTCCCTTTTCGACCTTTTTTTTCTCATCTCTCTCTCACTTCCTTCGAGCTAGCTTATATTATACTAGAAGGTTTTTCTCTCTCTTCGCTGCTGGATGCTGGAAGAGGAAAGGATGCGCGGAATTTTCGAGCCGGCGGATGCGAGTAATTATCACCCATATGTATAATTGAAGTCGGACTCGTTCGTACGTATACAGGTATTGCATATCTACTACCGATGCAGGATATTGGTTGCGGCCGCTACGTATATATATGATGCGCGCAATGGGCAGTGTGCCAAGAGACAAAAAAGAAAGGGCATTTATATCATATATATCAGAATTCGATATTCGAAGAGAGACGGAGCTTTACCGAAGTTATATATACTTATTTTTATACTTTTTATTACACGATCAATTGTGTAACGCCTTGTATCTGGTTCCCCGCGGAGATATAGAAAAAAGAGAAGCGACGACGACGACACAGCGTGCGCCGTAAATATATATAAAGGTCAACGACTGTCTAGAGCTGTCGCGCGTAATAAACACGCAGACTCACCCACACACGTTGTGTGTACTTCTGCCTGCCGGTTCGCGTCTTTATAATATGAAACACGCAGCACAAAAGAGAGAGAGAGAGAGAGAGAATTCGTCGCACGGAAAATGTGCTAATATTACGCGTTACGCGTGTGGTACGGTGGCGTTAAAAACCTCTTCTCTCTCGTATACATATAGACCGTGCACATATAATAATAATAATAATAATAATAATGTAACGCACTCGTACAAGCGAGAAGAAGAAGAAGAGTGGAAAAATAGAAGAGGATACGAGCGACACGCGTTATATGCGCGAGCGCGAGCTTGCGAAAATTTATAACGCATATAGAGACACTGCATTGGAGTTTAAAGCTGCCGCTGCAGCTGCACGTACGTACAGTATAGCCCACGAGGCGAACATCCGCAGTGTGTGTGCGTGCGTGCTTATGCGCGCCCAGCGTGACCGTATGTATATGTGTGTGTTCACTGCAAAGTGTACACACGTACGTAACGTATAGCGTTCGAGTGTCCGCGCGTGCACACGGAGATTATGAAAGTCTTGGGCAATTTGCCAAGGCGATATTCTTTTTCCTAGAATCTCTCTCGCTGTCTCTCTATGCAAGCTCTGTGCCGTGTAACAGTGGTGTACGATAAATACACACGCTTACGTACGACCAACGCGAATTTCGCGAGTGGGCGCTTTGGCGGTGGCGTTAAGAAAAAAGAAAAAATAAGGGCCAAATGGTTGAGCGGCAATAAAGAGTCGGGCGCGCTGTACTACTTATACCTCGCGCTTGCCACGTGCATACACACATACACATGGTTGAAGTGTGTAGCGTATACGACGAAGAGACACGAGAGAGAACCGGTCGATCGTAAAATGATTTCTATTGGTTTATTGGCGCACATAATTTATGTACGGTGTAATAATAGCGCGAAAACCGATCGATCGCGGGCACACGTTAGAGAGAGAGAGACGTATATCGGCTAATGAAAACAATTAACCTCGTTAAATCGCCGTATCATATATACCTACACCTCGACGTATTATTGACTTTTAATCCTCGCGTCTCGCTCAACTTTATACGTGTATTTAACGTGACTCGTTATAAAAGTTAAAAAAAATAAAATGAAAAATAAAACAGTTTTCCTCTAGTCTACTCTGCGCAAAGTTACTCTACACATATAAGTATCCGTCTCGAAATGCAGCACGCGTAATAATATACACACACACACAGGCAGACGAACGCGCGTACGCGTCAATTTCAAAGAGACGTCGTCGTCTCTCTCTCTCTCGCGAAAGTGAAAACACGCGAGATAGAAAGCTGCTGCTGCTATACGCGTACGAGAGACGAGAGTAAGCTTCAGAGTCGTGGATGGAAAAAGAGAGGAAGGAAAAAAAAAGCTCGACTACGACGACTACGACGACGACTGCCTCTGCCTGCCAGAGCGCGGATCGATTCGTGTGTGACAGACCGACTGCTGCTGTGCGTCTCTGTGTGTCTGAATAAGTGTACGTATATAACGCAAGCACAGCCAGTAGGCAGGCAGCAGCAGACCTGGGAATTTATATACGTACGTTTGCGCGCGACTGGCAAAATTAAAAGAAAAATACAAGGATCTACGAGAGAGAGAGAGCTTTTTATATTTATATCGTTGTACTATATACCACTATATACACTATTCCCTCCCCAAAGCTGCAATTATCTCTCCTCGAGAAAGGAGTATAATTTGATGAGCTTTCGACGGAGCCCTCGTCGTCGTCGTCGCCGTCGCGGATCGCTAATTCATTTAGTTTTCGTAGTATAGCAGCCGGGGCGCGCGAGAAAGGAGCAGAAGAAGAAGAATGACGAGGAGGAAGTGGAATAACCTTCATTCAACGTACGACAATGAGAGACAGAGAGAGAGAGAGATAAAGCGAAAAGTTCATGGTGACGATATAGCTGTTTTCACCTCTAATGCGGTCTACCTATACGACGTGTCGTTACGATGATATGCATTATAAAGCACGCCTTTGTGCTTGCGCGAGCTTTTTTATTTTTATTTTTATTGCAGACGAATTATACACGATACACCGAGCTCGCACTCGGCTGAGCTATTTTTCATCGATGAGCTTCGTGATATATATAAATATTCAAACGCACACAGGCAGAGACGAGAGAGAGAGAGGTGAGCTTTGAAAGTTCAAGCGTCGAGTTAAAAGTCTCGCTCTCTCGCTCTACCTCGGTGTGGGGTGCGTGTATGTATACGAGAGTCTGTGGCAGGTCAGACGTTTTTGCAGCATCAATGAGCACACGAACGCTCGTGTCTGCGTTTATATGTGTGTGTATACACAAGCTCGGAGAGAGATCCCCCTATAGATAAAGATAGAGAAAGAACGAGAGAGAGCGAGAGATGCGGAGAATAAACGTCAACCGATGATACGCCAGTGGTGTATAATTAGACCGGAGGATTATCGCAATCAACGGACGACGTAACATGCAAATCTCTGCGGTGGTGCGAGTTATATGTGTATGTGTGTGCACTGCGTTATCGCAACGCAGCTGCAGCACAAAACCATGATATTATGTTCGAACCTTAACCCCCAAAAATTGTATACACCCCCATTGAGCACAGTGGCGTATGTACGTGAGTGTGTGTGTGTGTACACACACGTACCCCTCTACCCCCCTGTACGCCGTTCAATCGGTCTACGATGTGTAACGTGTATGAGATTGTAACAATAAATTATCGAAAAAATTGTCGCGCATGAAATAATCGTATATCGCACGGCACTGCAGTAAACCGCATCGACTCGTAGAGCAAAACGTGGTATACGATGATGATGTTTTGTATCAGCTCTTACGTATGGTCTTGTGTGTGTGTGTGAAAATTTTTTTAACCTGAATCGCCTACCTTGTCACCTGCTGCTATCCATATTACACACTTATTACTATTCTTTCTCTATCTCTTTTATTTTAATCTGAATATTCACACGGTCGCAGAGGGTGACGACGAACCGATGAACGCGCCGGAGCTCGATACGAACAACCTCACGCATTGCTCCTCGCACCTTTCGGCATCGGGCTCTACATTCAACAACAACATCAACGATCAACAACGGGCAACAACAACAGCAACCACCGACGATAGCATCGAGCCCGCGTGTCACTCGTGACACGTCTCGCACATCTCCTTTCTTTGATCGCACTGCATTCGATAAATACACTCACGCGCGCACACACGGCACAGCTATACGACGAGTATAGCTACGAGATATATGAAAAAAAAAACGGTGTATCGTTAATATAAAATGTGTATCGTATTAAAACGCGCAGGCCGAGCGTATACAACTAGCGCGGAGCGCGCGGCTGCCTGACGGAACGAGACGGAGAACGGGACGAGATACTACACACACACATACATACATGCATACACACTTATTCGGGGTAGGTATATAACACGGCGGCATCGCAAGGCGCTATCGCGCGCGCGCGCGAGCGCACGGATAGGATTCGGAGTTGCATATACATATAGATGGGTACGCAGAGAGTGAGTACAAATGCGCCATGCAGCCCCATCTCTCTTATATACATACATGTGGGACATTTATATATACGTACATACGTATACACATGCAGCAAGAAAAGTGAAAAATTTAAGAGAGAGAGAGAGGGGGGACTCTACGCGGCGGAGAGGCCCGTGGCGGAGTCTCTGGCGCACCGGCGCTACTGTGCAGACAGCGGCGTGCGGCTACCATCCGCCGCGTGTGTGCGCGCCCGCGTTATATAGCCACCATCTTGGCTCCCCCTATTTTTTTTTTTCGAGCGGGCACAGAGCAGCAGCAGCGCAGCGCACCCCCGCTTTTTCGGAAGGGGATAGGGGTAGAGAAGGAAATCAATGACGGCCGCCGCTGCCACGGCGCTTTGGGCAGTAGGGGTGGCGGTGGTGGTGCAGTAGAAGCAGCAGCAGTAGAGAATAATAATGCCGCAGCGCCCCAGCAGTGTACGCGAAAGGGGGTAGTTTTCCCGGGGGGTCGCTTTACGCGCGTACGATACGCGCGCGCTACCGCACCGTCGGTATCGCGCGCGCGCGAGCTTTTATCCATCGTCGTAGCGGAGCGATCGTCGGTAAAGGAGCTTTTTGCGCGAAGGGAGGGTTGTTGTCTCGTTCGAGGGTTATACAGAAAAAAATCGTATCGGACACAGCCCACAGTCAAGGATCCGGGGAGGACGATAAGGTAGAAATCTCGAGGAGCGCGATCCGGTCGATGATCGGTGCAGCACACACCCCGCGGCAGCGCTTATATATAAAAGCTTCGATCGGTTTGTGTATACGTATACACGCGCGCACGGGGTTGTTACACCCTGCGACGTGTTATACACACATATAGTATATCGTACATGCCTTGTACACACACGCATACACAAATACACAGTTTTTCCCACAAGCTCGGCGTTATGTATATAAATCCGTGAACGTGTGCGAGAGCTTGCGACGTTTTACTCTCCGCAAGCTCTCTACGATACACGTACACACGCGTATATGCGCATTATAATCTTGCATGTATAATCTTTCGTGCAGGGAGGGCGAGGTGTGCACGATCGTTCCAAAATATTATAAAAAAAAGTGAGAAAGAAGAGACACATTAAGCGAGTATCGATCTTTTGGTGGTGCGCGGTTACATATATCGTCGCGTGTGTGTGTAAATTAAATCATTGCCCAACGATTATATCATATTTTATTGTATATTATTTGTATACGACACGTACAGGGCAAGAATATAACGTACACCGGAGAGCAGACGACGTAACCGCAGCCGGTTCGATACTTGCCAGTCGTAACCGCGCCGATATATGTAACATTTTTTTTCACCAGCTCTTTCCGCGTGCGTGAACAACGCATACATAACTCTACACATGCAGTCTCTATATGATATATCCCTCTCACCTTGTCTTCCGCCTCGTCGGCTCGTCTCTCGGCTTCCAGAACTCGCTGCTCCAACTCCGACAGCTGCGAACACAAAGCAGAAAAGAAGCACGGGGTTAGAAAAAAATTCATTTTTGATATGTCGGGGTAAAAGCTCGAAAATCCCGACGTATATAATCGACGTGGCGTGAAAAAAAAAATCGTGTAATTAATTAATAAAAGATATGTAATAAAGTCTCTTATCTGTATATATACGGTATACGCAACGTGGCAGGCTCGTAAAAACATCTCGAGCAGGCCCGCGCGAGCTTTTTTACGACTCCGAGCTTTTAATGTCGCGCGCTCGCGTCGTAAAAAACAACGACAACAACAAAAAAAAACAGTGTGCTCCGCACCAATGATATTATACATCAGATATCAGAAGGTATTACGTCGTTCTCTCTTGGATGTATAATGAAATCCTCCCTCTGCGCGTCCGCGTACTATATAATAATGGTGGGGGGGNCACCGCCCCATACACACTGGGGAGAGCTAATCAAGACTCTGTTTCTAGGAAGCGAAGCGCATATAGTAATAGCCCTCTCGCCTCCGAGGGGAGGACGACGATGATGATGATGATGATGCTGATGAGGATGCAAACTGCAAATGGATCTAATACAGCTCCTCTGCCTCTGTGCTGTGTATATACGTACATGTATATATAGCTCAGAGGGAGCTTTCTGCAGATAATAGCGGCGCGATTACTATTGATTACCGAAAGCGGCTGCAGCTTGCGCAGACACACACGCACACACATACACATACAACAGAGCGATGCACAGAGACGATCGAGAGAAAGTCGGCGGGGTGGTGGTTAGATATTTCGGTGTAATAATAATGAAATATTATTTGAAATTCGTTGGAGCGTGTGTGTGTGTGTGTGATTTATGATTTAATTTCGTAGCATTTATAAATCGTACGAAGCAATTTCAATTTATCGCTTTTTCCGATATTATGAATACGATCAGTGTGTGTACCGTGTGGATGGACGAGAGAGATGGAATTTACAAATGACATTTTGAACGGTTTTTGTTTGCTCACGTGAGCCATGTACAGCAGCAGCTATACAGCAGCCAAGCCGAAGGTATTACGTACAGTGTAAACGACGGAATGGAAGAATAAATAAATAAAAAATAGAAATAAAATAAAATGAAAAACAGTCTTGTCACACTGCCAAATAAATTTGTCAATATTATACGTAATACGTGGGATATCGAAATTCATAAACAATCTCCACAATACACAAAGTGTCTCTTTTTTTCGGGCACCGCACACGACTCTCTCTCTCTTTCTCTCTCTCTCTCTCTCTCTCTCTCTCTCTCTCTCTGTCTCACCTCTGCATCTGCGTCGACGACAGCGCGACGAGCTCGCAAAAACCACTCGCATCTGCGCCCCGTCGCGCATTATTAAGGTGCATATAAATACGGAGGGGGGCTGCTGCATTATACACACACGTATATGTGCTGCTCATCGCGCTCGAGCGAGCGATTAATTAGAGGAGGGCCCTTTAAAGTGCCTCGGAGAATAATACGTAATTATTATTATGCGCTGCGCGGGAGAAAGAGCTAAAGCATTAATACAAACACATATACGCAGACGCGCGCGTATCCACAAAGGATTATTTATCGACTCTCGTGCCTGGACTAGCTCGCGTATGTATAAAGTCGTTATTATTATTTACTTTATTTCGCGCGTGCGTGTCCGTTAGTTATATAGGCACACATGCGTGTACAATTGTAATGCAGCGCGAGAGTGTAACGTTCTATTTTCCTTTTTTTTTTCCTTTATTTTTTTCTCTGTTTTTTATAAACTTCGCATGGTTTGCTGCATTGTACAATAGCTTTATTTTTGCTCAAAAGGACAATTTGTCACGAGGTATATAGTAGCTACAAGGTTCAACACAAACATTGACAAATGTAAATTCATCACGCAAAAGAAGGCAGCAAGAGAGAGCGAGAGATGATTGGAACGTTCTAAATCTTTATTATAACTATAGCAAAACAACGTTTTCATACAGATGAATGCGTAGCCTATTTGCGCACGGCATCGGTCAAAGCTGTTCAGCCCGTCACCTTACGTCTCTCTTTGTGTTGCGCCGCGCGATCTGTTTACACGTTGTATTGCTTTGTCGCGTGGAATTCCGAAAAAAGGCCTCGTATGGATCGCAACGACGCGCAGTAATGTTGGCACTGTGATCAGTGTAGCGCCGCTCGTCGTTCAGCTCACATCAATAATTTGCTGTTCAGTTTTACTCAGGCACGTTACGACGTCGCAGCTTAAGAAAGAACGATCGCATCGAGTGCACAGTGCACACTTCAATCATTGATTCTCGTGAATAAACATTTTCTTTTACTCATTAATTATAAGTTAGTTTATTTCCGTGTGAGTTTGTAGAACAATGGCCGCTCGACAACACTTGGCGTATCAGGAAGAACCCGATGAATCGGGCAGTAACGTTGATCACGATGAACCCGATGAATCGGGCATTGATGTTGATCACGAAGAACCCGATGAATCGGGCAGTGACGTTGATCACGAAGAATCCGATGAAACGGGCAGTGACGTTGATCACGAAGAATCTGATGATTTGGACAGCGATATTGATTATTTCTATGAAGAGAGGGATGACTACGATATGTGTCAAACAAAATTCGAAAAACTGAAGAGCCTACGAGAAAGGGTTGATTGGAAGGACGAAGAAGATCGAGATAGATTTTAATCGTCTACTCAATGGATTGATCGTTGGTTGGAAGAGACCACTCCCAGATCTCCGTGAAGTTTTTCAACGACAACAGATGGATTTGCTTCTCTCGGAAGCCGTCGAATTCAATGCAGAGGATAACACACCTCAAATCGTCAAGTTTGTGGTCAGGACCGGCTACAAGGACGAACCCGAGCTAGATGAAAATGGCAAGCCAGTGTTGCAACGCACCACGGCAGTGCACCGGGCCTGTAGAAATGATGAAATGCCCGAACACATTGTCATAAAGAAGCTTTTTGAAATATACGACAAATTCGATGTCAATTACATCGATGAGGATGGATTAACACATTTTCACGCGGCTTGCATATCTGGCTGCGAGGAGGTCGTCGAGAAATTTTTCGAGGCAGGCCAGGATCCCAATTGTCTCTGTCAAGAATCGGACGCGATTTCAGTTGATCCGCCGCTGCACTTGGCTTATGCTAACGAATACAAGAAGGTGTTCAAATTACTACTGAGACATGGCGCTGATCCTAATTTGACAGATAAAGACGGATGTGCTATTGTGCACATTATTTCAAAGAGATACACCTTAGGTGGTTACGACGATGAATGGATAAAGATACTTTTTGATGTCACCGACGAAAAACACCAGCTGGTGCAAGTCAATGCTCAGGACAATTGGGGCTGGACCCCGCTGGACGTGGCCGTGGCAAATTTCTTGCCGGATGCGGTTGAAATTTTACTGGATCATGGTGCTGATGCGAGTAACTTCGTTTTTCCCGGCTACAAAGACTACGATAATTTACTAGACAATTTTTTGGGCACTATAGACGGAGTAGTGGAAATATCGGCATATACGCTGGTAATTGTTGAGTGCCTCGAAAAAAAAGGATATGAAATGAGTCGAAGCAATGTCATGTCGATTTAGTCCGGGCGCTGGTGACATTTGAGTGGACTTACGAGATCCCCTCGGCGAGTTGACGGATTTCTATGTTTTTTGGGTCGCTGAAACCGAATTTGGAGGTCGCCAGGCCGAAATCCTGGTCAATTTTTTGTTATAAACAAATTAATTGTTTAAACAGCCATATCTTGAAAAATATTGAAGATAGATTAAAACAATTTGTTTTTATTTTATTCGTCTTTGAAAAACAAAGAAATTCCATTAAATTAATTGAAAATCCGTCCACTAGAAAAAAAGTTATGCAATAATTAGTGTAAAATACGTCTTTTTTCACCTTTCAACCTCTGTAACTTTGCTCGTATTAGTGCGATCGAGCTCCTGGACGTCTCATTTTAAAGGTAATAACCTACAGAATGATGTAACATAATTTTTATGTAGGTAAAATTGTTTATAATGCAATCTGTAGACGTGTATAAACGTAATTTTATGGCTCTGACGTACTTTCCATTTGTTTATACGCGTTTTTTGCTGAGATAAATTATTAAAACAACGTGGTAACTTAGTTCAAATGAAAGTACATCAAAAAACAAAAATTTTAAGGGGTTTAGGAAGAAAATCGGTCCAGTAGATGCCAAGTTACAGCCTTCTGAACTAGCGCGTAGAAACCAGCGAGCGCTTAGGGCGTGCACACTGAGGCAACATGAACTCATGAACCAAGCTCAGACTTGTTTGTAACTTGGCATCTACTAGACCGATTTCCTTTCTAAACCCCTTAAAATTTTTGTTTTTTGATGTACTTTCATTTGAACTAAGTTACCACGTTGTTTTAATAATTTATCTCAGCAAAAAACGCGTATAAACAAATGGAAAGTACGTCAGAGCCATAAAATTACGTTTATACACGTCTACAGATTGCATTATAAACAATTTTACCTACATAAAAATTATGTTACATCATTCTGTAGGTTATTACCTTTAAAATGAGACGTCCAGGAGCTCGATCGCACTAATACGAGCAAAGTTACAGAGGTTGAAAGGTGAAAAAAGACGTATTTTACACTAATTATTGCATAACTTTTTTTCTAGTGGACGGATTTTCAATTAATTTAATGGAATTTCTTTGTTTTTCAAAGACGAATAAAATAAAAACAAATTGTTTTAATCTATCTTCAATATTTTTCAAGATATGGCTGTTTAAACAATTAATTTGTTTATAACAAAAAATTGACCAGGATTTCGGCCTGGCGACCTCCAAATTCGGTTTCAGCGACCCAAAAAACATAGAAATCCGTCAACTCGCCGAGGGGATCTCGTAAGTCCACTCAAATGTCACCAGCGCCCGGACTAATTATGAAGTTGTTTGATCGGCCCGAATTTCTCGATATTATGTATGAAACAAATAATGAATCCTGCCTTAAAAACGAAAAATTAGTTGACAGG